AGCCCGCGAGCGCCGAGCCTCACAGCCTCTCGGGGCAGACTGAAGCCGCAGGCCCTCGAGATTCGACTTCTTGCCTAGCGCAGAGCCTGCGACCCCCAGTAACAGCCACAGCGCTTCCACCCGGGTCCGCAGCACCTACCCCGCCAGGGCGAGAGGAGCACTCCCCTGCCGGCGCTCAGACCCCAGCCCAGGGTCTGAGCCACCCCCGACATTTATCTTGTAAAATGAATCGGAGTTTTCAATGTACGCCACGTTTATTTGTGTTCGAATTCCTACTAAGAAGCGTTTCCCCTAAATACTCGTACAACTGACGTTTCAGGAGGATGCAACACGTTTGTCCTAGAACCGGCCTCGGCTCCTAGCACTCCTAGTAGCCTGAGCGCGACCAGGATGTGTCTGAGGGTTTGTTGATAGCTTACTCCACACAGGGGCCCTTTCAACTTTTTTTCCTTAATGACGTGTTGGTGTCTGCTGTCACCGTTAGAACCTCTGACGGTATCCGGCCTGATGATGCTTTGACAGTCCTCTTAGAAAGGAGTGTGACCTCCCACGAATCCAGTGTGCCCGCGAGATCCTCACCCGAGCTCTGGCTGGAGGGGTGGAGAGACTGAAACCGGCAGGTTTCCAACCGCCAGCCGCTCGCCCTCCCAGGTTCCCTAGCCTCAGGTCGGCCAGGTTCGCCCCTGCGGCCCTGTTTGCCTCGGCGGGCTGGAATTCCTCTCAATTAGCATATCTTACCTCGTATCTGTCTCCCTGGTGGAACTCCCCCCTCTCTCGGCCTCCAATTCTAAGATCCACTCTCCCTCCCGCAGGCCCTCCCGAGCCCCTCATCTGCTACCCCGAGTCTCCTCCGTGGGTCGTCTCCCCTGCTTGAGCTCCTGAATCTCTTAAGTGGTTTCCTAGGTGCCAGGCTTCTACATGGTCCCCCCTGGACTATGCAAATGCTTCCTCAGAAGACTGAGGACTGGGTAACTTTTTTTTTTTTAAGATAGCAGCAGGGAGGGGAAGTTTCGGGGCTAAAGTTGGATAACCAGGGCCTGAAAAACACAGATAAGAGGGAGTGACTCTCCCAGAGAGACAAAGAAGGTGGATGGAGAAGAGGAACCAGCCTTAGCCAACTGAAGGATGGCTACCTGTGCTGTCAACATAATTGCCGCTCACACCACACCCTGCCCTGGATGAGCCCAGAGATTGATTATGGTTGCAACCCTCCAACACATCCCCCACTGGGGCTGGCAGGGCCACGCCCACAGTGCCCCAAGTGCCGCCTGCCTTGCGGTGACTCACTTCCTCTGTAAGGGCTGCCGAGGTGCCCTAAGGCCACCACCAGGCCTTCCGACCAGAACTTAGGTATCAGGCCAGGCTTCTTCCGTAGGCTTCCTGGCCTGTGCGTGGAGCTCAGTTGTCAAAAGTGGGTCTTTCCAGTTAGGCTGGACTGCACAACACAAAATTGGGGTATAGATAGAGCCTGGCTAGTACCTGACAGGGAGATTTGGGTGCCAGGAGTTCTGGGGAGCCAACAATTTCCAGTGAAGTAAAATAGCTAGGAGGAATGTCTACATAAATCTGAAATCATGCAATGTAGACTTAAATTTGCAGAAAAGTTGTGTAGGACCCAGCCACTGCAGCCCAGCAATCATGCACGTGCCCTGAAAGTCTGGAAACCATGTGACTGACCATAGTTTGGGTCCCCAAGTCAGTATGAAAATTTACTGGGTGCTGGGGCCAGCAGGTGGCGTGGTAGTTAAGGCAGCTCTACTCCCACATGGCTAACTGTGGTTCAAGTCCTGGACCTGGCAGCTTGCATTCTCACTTTCCTCTCTCTCTCTGGTCAACTTCAAAAATAATAATAATAGGGACCAGCAGTTAGCATAATGGCTATGTCGCTGGACTTTCATGTAGCCGACTACAGTTTGAGTCCAGGACAAAGTGGCTTAAACTCACACTGGGCATGTGTGCGTGCGTGCCCAAGATCCCGAGAGGAGAATGGAGGAGAAGGGATTGCAGTGTGGCCATCCCCCCTGCGGGGTGATTTCTCGCTTTCTGTCTTTCTGTCTCTCTGACTTTCTGGCAAGCACACATGCCCTATAGCAAAAACCTCTCAAAAAAAATAATAATGAATAAAATTAAATAAACAATTATTTTTTAAAAATCACTGGGTGCTTGCATAGTCACCCAGGACCCTGAGGCATTAGAGGGCAGGGGAAAAAGTATTGCAGTGTGATGAGACCCTGCTCAGGGTGCTCTTCTTTCTCTCTCTGTTTCTCTCTCTTTCTCTTTTATTTTTGTTTTTTTGTTTTTTGTTTGAGAAGTTTTTGCTGTAGGGCGCATATGCTCACCAGACAGAGAGAGAAAGAGAGACAGAAAGCGAGAAATCACCCCCCAGGGGGGATGGCCATGCCGCATCCCTTTTCCTCCTTTTCCTCCGTTCTCCTCTCGGGATCTTGGGCATACGGCTCTGTTTCTCTCTCTTTCTCTTTTATTTTTGTTTTTTTGTTTTTTGTTTGAGAAGTTTTTGCTGTAGGGCGCATATGCTCACCAGACAGAGAGAGAAAGAGAGACAGAAAGCGAGAAATCACCCCCCAGGGGGGATGGCCATGCCGCATCCCTTTTCCTCCTTTTCCTCCGTTCTCCTCTCGGGATCTTGGGCATACGGGCACACATGCGCGGCGTGAGTTTTAAGCCACCGGGTCTGGGACGCGCACCGTGGCGCGAACCGTGGTCGACTACATGGGAGTCCAGCGACATAGCCATTACGCTAACTGCTGGTCCCTCTCTTTGTTGTTTTTTAGAGACTTTTGCTATAGGGTGCATGCACTCACTGAAGAGACATACAGAAAGCGAGAAATCACTCCCCCGGGGGATGGCCACGCAGTAATCCCTCTGTTCTCCTCTTGGGTTTTTGGGCACTCACATACACGTGTCTAGTGTGAGTTTTAAGCCACCAGGTCCAAGACTCAAACCGCAGTCGACTATGTGGGAGTCCAGCAAGGTAACCATTACACCATCTGCTAGTCCCTTGCTTTTTTGTTTTGTTTTGTTTTTAGAAAGATTTTTTTGTTATAGGGCAAGTGCACTTGCCAGAGAGACAGAGAAAGACTGATAGACAGAAATCACCCCCCAGGGGGGATGGCCACGCTGCAATCCCTTCTCCTCCATTCTTCTCTTGGGATCTTGGGCACGCACGCACACGCACCCTGAGTGAGTTTAAGCCACCTGGACTGGGACTCATACCCCAGGTCGACTATGTAGGAGTCCAGTGACGTAACTATTATGCCATCTACCGGTCCCTCTCTTTCTTTTGTGTGTGCACATGCTCTCTATCATCAAAAAACAGTAATACAGACCAGCAGAGAGAGTGCCAGTTAAAGCTCCGAATCTTACAATGGCCGACTGCAATTTGAGTCCTTGACCTGGAAAAATCACACAGTTGTGTGAATGTGTGTGCCCCAGGCCCCAAGAAGAGAATGGAGGGGAAGGTATTGTGGTGTGGCCATCCCACCTGGGGGGTGAATTCTCACTTTCTCTCTCTTTCTCTTCCCCCTTGGCAAGCACTCACACCCTATAGTAAAAACTAAAACAGAAACAAAAACAGCAATGGGGACTTGAGGTGTAAAGTGCTCTTGAGCTGACAGCTGAGACCCTCTCACTGCTTCCCTCCTGGATTCCACCAAGAGGGACTCCCTCATGGAAGGCTGCTTTTGATTCCAACTCCATGGGCTTGGGAAGCCACTCAGCCTTCTTGAGTCTGTAATGAAAGGGTAGTAGATTGGGTCGTCTCTCAGATTTTCCTCTAGCTCGGAAATCCTGAAATTTAGAGCCTGGGGATGGAAAGTGACTAGTAGATCTGAAAACAACTGTGGTCTGGCCCTGGAGTTGAACAACGACAAAAACCTCAGGGATGAAAGGGGTAAGATTCCACCCACATTTCAGGAGAGTAATTGTAAGTGCATCACACACACTGCACGGGGACAGGCAAAGAGGACTTTGCTGCTGCCATGTGACAGGGCTTCGGTCCGCCTTCTCCAAATTCAGGTGCAGCCTTGCAGGTCAGCCAGCTAGGAGTCCCTTGGGGAGGTTTGGGCTGGGGAAACAGGTCTCTGCCTGTTCATTTGGCCTTGGCCTCCCTTCATTTCCTCCTAAGTCTATTTGGCACGTGTAGCTGAGAGAGGCTCTGAGGTTACTGAAAGCCTAGCGCGTGTGAGGACCCGCTCTGAGCAGTATCGCCTCTTTTCAGTAACCCAGGCTCCTGCGTGTGTCCAGAGGTCTGCCTCACCTGAGCTCAGGAGTAGAAGGCTACTGGAGGCTCTTGCTCTACCTGCCCACCAAGTCCGCCCAGGAACCTGATGACCTCAGGAGGCTGCGCTTCCCAGCAAGCGGACTGAAAGCCCCACGGTATCCCGGCGCTAAGTCAGAGACCACTAGAGGGCTCCAGAAACTCACTGACTGCTAATGCCCTCTTGTGGCTAGAATGGGGATCGGCAAGAAAGAAATTGCAGAAGAGCGCCCAGATGGGATTTCTGAGATAATAATAGTAAGAGTTTACCATTATGTAATAATATGAAAACAATATTTATTGCTATATTTTAGCTAACATTTTCAAATGTGTACTTGCTCTTCAGTGCCCAGCATATTTTTAAATGCTTTACATGCATTAATCTGTTCATCTCACAACACTATTAACATAAACACCTTATGTCCGTTTTGATGAAGACTGAGCTCAGGAAGGCTCAGGTAGTTGCCCAAGGACCAGCATTCTGACTCTGAGAAGTCTGGCTCCAGACCCTGCTTTTATATCCACTATGTTGAGATTGAATCCTATTTTCCAGGTTGTCCATTAAAATGCTGGGAGCCCAGTTGGTTATAATTTCAGATAAACAAAAAATGAACTTTTTCTTTTTTTGATATAGGACACATATGCTGACAAGAGACAGACAGAAAGGCAGACAGAACGGGATCATGAGAAAGGATCCCCTCCAGGAGGGGATGGCCATGCTGCAATCCCTTCTCATTGTCAGCCATGTGGGATCCGGCTGGCCCCAACAACAAAGAATTTTTTTTGAATTAGTTTTATTTTATTATTATTATTATTACTATTATTATTAATTTGACCAGAGAGAGAGAAAGCAAGAAAGAGGGAAAGTGAAAGCAAGCCACCGGGTCCTGACTTGAACCACAGTTGGCCATGTGGGTCCGGAACCTTAACCACCACGCCACCTGACGGCCCTAACAAAGAATTTTTAGTGTAAGTATATTCCATGAACTATTTGGCTCATACTTATACTAATAAACTACTAGTCATTTACCTGAAAGTCTAATATAACTCAGTATCTTTTTAAATATATATATATATATATTTATATATTTGAGAGGTTTTTGCTATAGGGCATGTGTAGCCAGAAAGACAGAGAGAGACAGAGAGACAGAAAGCGAGAAATCACCACCCAGGGGGGATGGCCATACCACAATCCCTTCTCTCTTCTTGGGATCCTGGGCACACATGCATACATGCCCGGTGTGAGTTTAAGCCACTGGGTCCAGGACTCGAAACATGGTCAATTACATGGGAGTCCAGCGACATAGCCATTACGCCAACTGCTGGTCCCTCTTTTTAAATATTTTTAAGTTTATTTCCTCCATGAGAGAGAAAGCGAGACAGGCATGCTCAACAGGGCCTTCATGTCACAATCCACCCCAGCCTCAGCCAGTTCAGATCATAGGCATTCCCAGAATGCTCAGGGAGGTCCTTGGATGCAAACCTAGGGCCTTTCCTCTGTAGTTCAGTTGTGCTACTACTGCGCCACCACCTGGTCTGTGTCCTGTATTTTTATTTACTTAACAACACTACTTTATAAAGCACTTTTCTCTGCCACATGCTGTCATTTAAACCTCTCAGTCCCAAAACCCTGAGAAGAGATTGCTGCATGGCCATCCCCTCCACCCTGAGGTGCTTTCTCCCTTTCTTTCTCTAGCTCTCCCTCCAGCAAATAGAGGTGCCCTGGATTAAAATTTAAAAAGGGGTTTGGGGTGCCAGCAGGTGGCATGGTGGTTAAAGTGCTGAAATTCCCACATGGCCAACTACGGTTCGAGCCCCAGACCTGGCGACTTTCTCTTTCTCTCTCTCTTTCTCTGGCAAAACTCATGTGAAAAATAATGATAAATTAATGGCCGGCAGGTGGTGTGGTGGTTAGGGATGCTGTAGTCTCACATAGCCCACTGCGGTTTGAGTCCCAGACTTGGCGGCTTGCTTTCTCTCTCTCACTCTCGCTCTTCTTGCTCTGTGCCTCTCTGGTCAAATTAAATTAAGTAAACAATGTTAAATAAAATATTTATTTAAAAAATAATAAATTAATAAAATAATTGTTAAAAAAAAAGGGGGGGGGAGCTGGGGGTGCAACACAAGCGCACTTGGCCCCACATAGGAGGCATCTTAGATTTGCATCCTGGGACCTTCCTGAGCACGCTGGACCAGCTGAGACTGGGGGTGAGTCACATTGAGGTACTGTTGGGAGCGCCTTTCTCTCGCTCTCTCCGATGGGAGAAATAAATAAACTTTTAAAAAAAAAGCCTGCCAGTTAACCTCAGATGCCCCAGCATGCCCCCCAACCCCCTGCACATGCCTCAGCTTTTCCCAGTATCCCCTTTTAGAGAACTCAAATAACTAGTTCAGGTTCCAGAATGTAATGAACGACAAGGCCGGGGACTGTTCCCGGTTCTCCAGTTCCAACACTGATGGGTGTTTTCCATTTGAACCCAAGAGGAGAATGAAGAGCAGTGATTGGCACTGCACAAATCCCTTCTGGACCACTCCTCAGGCCTGCCTGGTCTGTGATTCCTCCTCTAGGCATGCAGGGCACCTGCTAGAGTCTCCCCGGGTTGAGACAGTAGCAGCCACTATGCCCTCCCCACACACAGCCAGGGAGGCAGGAGAGATTACACTCAGCCCCCTGGGAGCCTCGGGAGCCAGCTGTGGGGTTTGAGCAGCTGTTTGGGAGCCTCTGAGGCTCCCTAGGACTGTTCACTGGCTGCTCTGTGCACAGATAGCCTCAAGCCCAGCTGCTGGGGTTGCATCACCTTCACTGGAGCAGCCAGAGCTTTGGCAGCCAAAAGGCAGCAGAAACCAGGGCCCAGGGTGGCTCCCCCGTCTCCCTGTTGCCTTACGGAGCGTGGTGCTTCCTCCCATCCTCAGGGAACACCCTTTGCATTTTTCTCCTCTGACTCTGCTGGTCTGCTGCCACCTGCAAATACCTGTGTCATCCCGGTGTATACAAACAGTCCCTCTTGCTCTCTCCACCCAGCTGGCCCGCTCTAATAAGGACAGCCAGGTGGCATGGAGGTTAAGGCAGCTGGAGCCCACATGGCTGAGTGCGTGGTTCAAGGGCTCAGGGGCTTGAAGAGTCACACCCTGCACATGTGTGTGTACTCCAAATCCCAAAATCCGTAGAAGAGAATGGAGGAGAAGGGGTTGTGGTGTGGCCATCTCCTGAGGGGGTTGCTTTCTCACTTTCCCTCTGCCTGTCTATCTGACCAGGTGCACCCAATGACAAACTAAAAATAAATAAGTCAGTAGTCAAGGGAGTTTCTTTTTTTATCTCTCTCTTTTTTTGGAGAGGTTTTTCCTATACGGTGCATGCGCTCACCAGAAAGACACAGAGAGACAGAGAGACAGAAAGCGAGAAATCATCCCCCAGGGGGGATGGCCACGCCGCCACAATCCCTTCTCCTCCATTCTCCTCTCGGGATCTTGGGCACGCACGCACACGCGCCCGGCGTGAGTTTAAGCCACTGGGTCCGGGACGCGAACTGTGGTCGACTACATGGGAGTCCAGCGACATAGCCATTACGCTAACTGCTGGTCCCAGTCAGGGAGTTTCTGACTGGGACCCCCTCTGGGGTGCAGGCTGGGGTGCCCTGCTGGTATGTGCCCCAACAGGTTTTTCTCTATCAGGCCTGAAATCAACCTGGAGCCTGTCCGACCTGCCCCCCCAGGGAGCTGGAGCCAGAGGCGCTGGGTCAAAGCCGGACTTAGGAGGCTTCTGTGGTCCCACCTGGCCCATAGGAAAGCCGCACACAAAGGCTCCTGTGTCTGGGCCGAGCCCCGGAGAGGCTGCAAGGAGGTCACTAGCGTGGGTCGAGGCCCAGTTCCTGGGAGGAGAGATGCTAGGAAGGGAGGCGTTTGTGTGTGGGACCCGGTACAGCCTGGTCCTCTCCCACGGGTGGGAGGGGCCAGAGGCCACAGCTGGGCTGGCCGGCAGGAGGCGAGGTCATCTTATTGGCTGCTCAGCCTGATCGCACACGCCCCCCTCTCGTCCACCAGGCGGTACAGGAGCTGGTGCCCACGCAGACCTGCCACACGACAGCTCCAGCCTCGCCCTCTTGCACCTTTGGGTAAGTACTGGACCTGGGCCCACCTCCTGGGGGGACACGTCAGTTGTTTGGGGTTGTGGGGACAATCATGAGTTTTTCTTTTGCAACCTGAATGTCCCTGCTTCCCGCCCAGGCGCCCGTGTAGCCACAGGAACCCACACACCGTAGCTCCCAGATTGCTCCTGCTTACTTAAAGGTTCCAGCCTGAGACTTCTAAGGCTAAAAGCAGGTAGTCATAACCCGCGGAGGGCCTGCCCTGGCTGGTGGGCTAGGGCTGTGGGTGTGGGAGGTGCCCTTCCGAGCTGCCTCCCACCCAGGTACTAAATCCTGCCACCTCCCGTGACTCCCCAACGCTGCCCTGGGAGAACCCAGCCAGCTTATGGAGGAGCGGTCTGGGCCTCAGAAGGGGGGCACTCACCTCAGTCCAAGGACTGAGAGTTCTGGCACCAACCCTGGCATCAGAGAGGGTGGGTTCTAGCAGCATCCCTGATCCATGGGCTCTTGTCTCCTGCAGGAGGGGGCGAGAGGTGGGGGTTTCCCTCTTACTTCTCCACTTGAGCTCCAGCTCTGGCTCCCAAACCTGCTAAGCAGGTTGATGTTCTTTCTTTCTGCAAGGAGGGAAAAGGATAGAGGCAGGGGGAGCCTTGGCCCTGGAGTTTGGGGTCATAAGGAGGCCCAGAAGGGCTGGAAAGAAATTCACCGCTTCGCCTCAGTTTCCTTCCCCAGGTCAGTGGCGCCGTGCCTGTGAGCGGCGGGAAGATGGTGCTGACTCTGACCCAGGAGATCCTCAGCCACCTGGGCCTTGCCAACAAGGTAGGGGCTGTGGGGATTTGAGGAACCGTGCTTTCATTTGTTTGTTTTGCTATAGGGGTATAGGCTTGAGAGAGAGAGAGAGAGAACTCCCCGGGGGATGGCCACACGGGGGCTGGGCCTGGCTGGACAGGACAGGCCCCTCATCCTCCCTCCCGATTGTCCATCCTCTTGCAGACTGCAGCTTGGGGGACGCTGGGTACCCTCAGGACCTTCTTGAGCTTCAGTGTGGACAAGGATGTGCAGAGGCTGCTGAGGGCCATTACAGGCCAAGGTGAGCCCCTTTCCCTTGGCACTTGGGGGTCTGCTTTGTTCTTAGAAGCCGACGTACAGACCAGGAAGCAGCCAGGGAGAAGGCACTAACCCTGCTCACAAAATGCTTGTGCAACACCCTCATTCCTGCACGTCAAGGACGGAGATAGGTGTGTCATACCCATTCTCACAACGCCTCTGTGAGAGACAACTTGTTATTTCTCTCTGACAGATGAGGAAACTGGGGCTCAGGGAGGCTCAGGGAGTCACTCACCCAAGGTTACACAGTTCATGATGGCAGAGCTGGGATTCTAACCCAAGCCAGCCAGTCCCACAGAGCCGTCTTCCCCATCACACCCGGCCACTCTTGCCTAAATTTGGGTCAGATTCGCATGCCGTTTTGACATCTTATTTGCATCTTCTTTGGAGTTCAGCTGGAAGTGGGAGTGATGAAGCTCCCACCCCTTTTCTTTGCAGCCTTTTCCTAGACCTTGTTCTCTCCTCCAAGGAGTAGGGGGATCCCAGTCCTGTCAATCAGACCCCGCTGCAGCCCAGCCCTCCTCTTGGTTCAGGTGTGGACCGCGGCGCCATAGTGGATGTGCTGACCAATCGGAGCAGGGAGCAAAGGCAGCTCATCTCCCGAGCCTTCCAGGAGCGCACCCAGCAGGTGAGACTGCTCTGACTTCCCAGGAGACATGGGCTCGGCTAGGGGCCCCTGAGGACTCGGGTATGGCAACAGCAGGCGAGGCCGGCCCTGCCTGTGGGCTGAAGAGGGGTCTGGTGCTTCAGATGAGAATCAACTGAATCTTTCCAAACCTCTCCACACCCCTGGGGCCCTGCCCCTGGCCCCGACCTCCACTGCGGGGACCCCCTATTGCAGGACCTGCTGAAGTCCCTGCAGGCGGCGCTGTCGGGCAACCTGGAGAGGATGGTGGTGGCACTGCTGCAGCCTGCAGCCCAGTCTGATGCTCAGGAATTGAGGACGGCCTTGAAGGTACTCACGGAGGAGACTTGTTGGGGTGTCTGAGGACTGAGGATGCCTGAGGAACGGAGAGAACCCACTGCCACACCTCTGTCCACTCCAGAGGCCCCCTCTACCCAGTCCCTATCAACCCTTAGAAGGAGCAGCGGTCCACGTCCGCTCTCTGCCCCTCTGCCACCCTCGTTACGAGGCTGGGTCTCAGAGTGGCCTCCTCACTCCTTGCAGGCCTCAGGTTCTGTGGGCGATGTGGCCATGGAAATTCTTGCCACCCGAGCCCAGGCGCAGCTGCAGGAGTGCCTGGCGGTCTACAGACAAGGTAAGGATGTGGCGTCAGGGGGCCCAGGGGCTGCAGAGGGGTCAGCAGGACCCCGACAAGCAAGCCATTGGGACCCGATGCCCAAGTTCTGCTCCCTTGGGGTCTCTCCTCCCAGCCAGCGCCTCAGTCTCCCCAGGGGAGCCAGATGTGACCATTATAGAAGAGAAGCGATGATTAGCCGTCTTAGTCTGGGGCTCCCGGCGGATTCCAAAGTAATGACAGCGTTAGGCCCTGAGACCGTCCCATAGGCACATGTCGGTTCCCAGCGCCTCGCTGTCCTGGCCATCGCATGAGGTTCCCAGCTGAATGAGCCTTGTCACAGCCTGTGGGGAAGGTGGGAACCTGCTCTCTAAATCACAGTGTCACCTCTCGGAGCCCTGAGGCTGCCCCTGTGTGGCTGCACATGCCTACCCCCACCCCTGTCGTCTGTAACTAGCTTTCCCCTGCTCTTCCCGCCATCGCCCCCTTTTTCTTTTTTCTTTTAAGGGAGATTTTTGTTACAGGGCGCATACATACACTTGCTTGAGATAGAGAGACAGAGACAGAAAGTGAGAAATCACCCCTCGGGGGCATGGCCACGCTGCAATTCCTTCTCTATCCTCCTCCCACACATACACATACATGCACCCAGAGTGATTTTTTAAATAACTGTTTAATTTTATTTATTAATTACTATTATTATTATTATTATTATTATTATTATTACTTTCCACTTTGATCAGAGAGAGAGGGAAAGTGAGAAAACAAGCCACCAGGTCTGGGCCTTGAACCGTGGTCGGCCATGTGGGAGTCCAGGGCCCTCAACCACCACACCAGCTGCTGGCCCCACCCAGAGTGATTTTCAAGCCCCTAGACCCAGTGCTCAAACCGTGAACATGCAGTCACCCACGTGGAATTCAGCCACCTTAACCGCCATGCTACCTGCTGGTGCCCTAGGCCTACATTCTTAATCCCTCTCTCTCTCTCCCTCTGGTCCTGTTTCTCTGGTTCCCCTTCCTCCTCCCCTTTTCCTGTTCCTTTCGTTATATCTCAAGCTTTCACAGAATTTTCTTCACCTCTGGAGAGATAGGGGGTAAGCCCTAGCCATCTTGCCTCATAAAGCGAGTTACCCTGGGGTCAGACAGCAGCACAACAGGAATGCAACGCTCTGCACGCCTGCTCCACGTGGGAAGGTTGCCGGCTGTGTCCAGAGCCCACCCTGAACACAGGGCTGTGCCTGCACCCATGACCCAGGCTCGGCTGTGCTGTGGGCGGATCCTGGCATGAAGATCTATTGGAAATTCCTGTCTCCGTCTCTCTCACTCATGGGAAAAAGAAAAAAAAAAAACTAAAAGAAAAAAAAGGAAGAAAAATAGGGGCCAACAGGGAGCATGGTGGCCAAGGTGCTGGACTCCCACATGGTTGATCACTGTTCAAGTCCTGGACCTGGTGGCTTGAATGTCCTGCCAGGTGTGTGCGCATGCATGCCCAAAATCTTGAGTGGAGAGTGAAGACGGGATTGCGGCATGGCCAGCCCCCTGGGGGTGTATGATTTCTCACTTTCTCTCTGTCGCTGTCTGTCTGTCTCTCCCTCTGGCAAGTGCACGCAGCCTATGACAAAAAAAAAAAAAGGAAAGAAAGAAAGAAAAAGAAAGAAAGAAAGAAAGAAAGAAAGGAAGAAAGAAAGAAAGAAAGAAAGAAAGAAAGAAAGAAAGAAAGAAAGAAAGAAAGAAAGAGAGAAAGAAAGAAAGAAAGAAAGAAAGAAAGAAAGAAAGAAAGAAAGAAAGAAAGAAAGAAAGAAAGAAAGAGAGAAAGAAAAAGAAGAGAAGTAATTAAGTTTTCCTACCCCTCTTTGCTGCCAGTCCACCACTCTGATACCGGGAGCCTCCCCTCCGGACGGTTGGTGCTTGGAGAGGAGGCCGCCCACCCTCACAGCTTAGAGCTGTGTTCAGAGCCTCCACCCCGGGGGCCGGCAACCACTGAGCCACTCCAGGCAGGAGCATGCAGGGCAGGCAGGCACAGGGTCTGGGATCTGACAGGTCCTAGGGAAGGACCGGGAGGACTCGGCCAGCTCCCGACCCCACCCCAGGTTTCCAGGTGGAGGCTGAGGAGGACATCAAGTCTGAGACCAGCGGCATCTTCCAGGACCTGCTCCTGGCCCTGGCCAAGGTGAGGGGCTGGGAAGGGAGTGTGCTGGAGTGGGAGCACTGCTATGCTGTGGTGGACGGGGGACAGACGTGGGGGGACCAAGGTTTGGCTCGTTGGTCTGGAGATCGAAGAGTCCTCCTGAGAACCGCCTCTCCTCCTAGGGGGGCCGTGAGAGCTACTCCGGAATCATCGACTATCACCTGGTGGAACAGGACGTGCAGGTGAGCACGGAGTTCGGAGTTCGCACAGCACTAAGACACTGTCCCCCATGGAGCTGAGAGCCACGGGCCTGTGTGCCCATTTGTCCTACAGACCTGTTTCCGCCCAGGAGAGGAGCCTTTGGGGACGGGAGGGCACGCAGTGTCAGGTAGTGTGTGACCACAGCCTTCGTGCTCATCCGGCCTCGACCCCTGAGCTCATCTCTGGCAGATTCTCCTCTCCTGGGTATGGAGGCCCCCCACCCCATTCAGTATCTAATGCCATGGGTACCAGGGTTTTCTGGCTCAGCAAACAGGGCTCAAAGCAGAGCCCTTCTCTTGGCCATTTCTTTCTTTCTTTTTTTTTTTAATCAACATCGAGCACATGCGCTCACCAGAGAGAGACAGAGACAGAGAGAGGGAAAGTGAGAACTCACCCCCTGCAGGGGGATGGCCACGCCACAGTCCCCTCTCCTCCGTCCTCCTCCCAGGATATTTAGCAGGCACACACACGCGCTTGGTGTGATTTTCAAGCTGCTGGGTTGGGGACTCGAACCTCAGTGATCCACGTGGGAACCAGTGCCTTAACTTCCGTGCCATCAGCCGGCCCCCGTTTCTTTCTTTTAAACCCTAAATAAAAACAACTATTAGTAGTGACTAGGTGAGAAGAACCTTCTCCAGGCCTCATCCCATGTCCCCCTCGCAATGAGCGTCTGGGAACAGCGTAACCACAGCTGCCCGAGGCCCCAGCCCATCATGGTGACCGCGCGTCCCTCCCCCAGGCATTGCGAATGGCTGAAGGACCCAGCACCGAGGGCACGTGGGTCCTGACCTTCACCCAGCGAAATCCGGAACACCTTGTCCGAGGTGCCCCTCAGGCCTTTGTCCCCCCGCGTGCTGTGATGATGAGTGTTGGCTGGGGAAGTGGGGAGGGATCGGCCTTCCCTGTGGTAACTTACCCCACCCACTTGTCCCCCACTGCCTCCCACGCACACAAGTGTTCGATCAGTACCAGCGGCAGACGGGCCAGGCGCTGGAGGAGGCTGTCCAGAGCCGTTTCCATGGAGATGCTCAGGAGGCCCTGCTTGGCCTAGGTAGGGACCTGCTCAGGTGAGGGGCGGGGTCTCTCTTGAGATGGACACTTGCAGCCCTGGTCGTGACCCCCCTCCGTCCTTGCCTCTTTGCAGCCTCAGTGCTCAGGAACACACCCCTGTACTTCGCCGACAAACTTCACCGAGCCCTCCAGGTGAGAGGGGCACTTCCTTTCCCTCCCTTTGGAACAGAAACTCGGGGAGACACCGCCTGGACAGAGGAGACATTTCAAGATGCTACTAGTGAAACCGTCTCCCACATAATTTATAAACCTACGCAAGCTCTCTCCCCCTGGCTTTACCGCCTTGTCCAGGATAGAGGAGTAAGCTGGGCTTAAAATTAAATTAGGGGGACCGGGACCAGCAGTTAGCGTAATGACTATGTCGCTGGACTCCCATGTAGTCGACCACGGTTCGAGTCTGGGACCCGGTAGCTTAAACTCACGCTGGGCATGTGTGCGTGTGCCCAAGATCCTGAGAGGAGAATGGAGGAGAAGGGATTGCAGCATGGCCATCCCCCCTGGGGGTTGATTTCTCGCTTTCTATCTCTCTGTCTCTGTCTTTCCAGCAAGTGCACGCGCCTTATAGCAAAACAACTCTCAAAAAAAAAAAAAAAAAAAAAAAAATTGTCTAGTCAGGAACATGGGGTGGATCCCAAATGGCTGACTGCACTGTTCAAGTCCTGGACCTGGCACCTTGATAAAATACACTGGATGTGTGTATGCATGTGTGCGTGTGTGTGTGTGTGCGTGTGTGTGTGCGCGTGTGTGTGTGTGTGTGTGCGTGTGTATGTGTGTGTGTGTGTGTGTGTGTGTATGTGTGTGTGTGCTCAAAACCCCAAAAGGAGGGAGAAACAGAGAAAAAGGGATTGCAGTATGATCATCTGTCTTTCTGGGGAGCGTACGCACCCCATAGCAAAAACCTCTAAAAAAATTAACTAATTAAATTTAATTAAAAAACACCATAGCTAAAATTTTGGCCTTATTAATATCTAGGTGAGCAAACAGAGTGCTTTGTCTGGTCTCAGCTGCTGCTAGACTGACAGTGATAACACCAGCAAGGATGATGACAATATCTCACTTTTTTTGTTGTTAGAAGTTTTTGCTATAGGGCGTGTGCGCTCACCAGACAGACAGAGAAAGACAGAGAGACAGAAAGCAAAAAATCACCCCCAGGGGGGATGGCCATGCCACAATCCCTTCTCCTCCATTCTCCTCTCGGGATCTTGGGCACGCAAGCACACGCGCCCGGCGTGAGTTTTAAGCCACTGGGTCTGGGATGCGAACTGCGGTCGACTACATGGGAGTCCCGCGACATAGCCATTACGCTAACTGCTGGTCCCATATCTCACATTTTTTTTAAGAGAGAGATTTTTGCCAGAGCGTGTGTGTGCTCATTGGAGAAACAGAGAGAGACACAAAGACAGAAAGCAATAAATCACCCGTCAAGGGGAACGGCCATGTCGCAGTCCCCTCTCCTCCATTCTTCTCCTAGGATTTTGGGCATGCATGCACACATGCCTGACATGAGTTTCAAGGCTCTGGGTCTGGGACTTGAACCACAAGCAGCCACATGAAAGTCCACTACCTTAACCACCACACCACCTGCTGGTCCCAGATCCCACATTTTGAGGCTTGTTGTGTGCCAGGGCTATCCTGAGCATGTTGTACACATTACAATTCATCCTCATTACCATACTCCTTGTGTAACAGATGAAGAAACAAAACAGAGAGGTTAAGTACCTTCCCAAGCTCACAGAACTTGGGCTAACTGCTGGTCCCAGTCCTTCTCTTTCTCTCTCTCCAATGTGCACACACAATAAATAAAATAATAAACATACCAGGACCAGCAGATGATGTGATAGTTAGGTCGCTGGACTCCCACATGGCTGACCGCCTTTTGAGTCCAGGATTCAGCAGCTTAAAACTCACACCGGGCAGGGACCAGCAGTTAGCGTAATGGCTATGTCGCTGGACTCCCATGTAGTCAACCTCGGTTCGCGTCCCGGACCTGGTGGCTTAAACTCACACACGTGTGCGTGCATGCCCAAGATCCCGTGAGGAGAATGGAAGAGAAGGGATTGAAGCATGGCCATCCTCCCTAGGGAGTGATTTCTTGCTTTCTGTCTCTCTCTCTGCGGCAAGTGACGGTTCCCATAAACAAAAAAAAAAAAAAAAAAAAAAAAAACTCACACCAGGTGTGTGCATGCATGCCCAAGATCCTGAGAGGAGAATGGAGGAGAAGGGATTGCAGCGAGGCCATCTCCCCTTGGGGATGATTTCTCGCCTTCTGTCTCTCTGGTAAGTGCATAGGCCCTATAGCAAAAATTTCTCTTCAACAAAAAAAAGAAGAGTTCTCCAAGTTAGAGAAGATGTAAAATTTGAAGAAGACAGAAGTAGTTATCGTTTTGGCAGATGGAATAGCTTTCTGTATACTGGTTAAGAAGCCATCGTCCCTTGTTGGTGACCACTCAAAAGACAGTATATGCAAGCCCTTGTTCTACCACCCAGAGATTTCCAGCTGGACAGATTATAGTCATTGACCAAGAAAGCCTGTATTATTATAATGAGTCAACACTAAGACTCATCTGAAGAGTTGTTATCTGTTCAAATTCCTGTCATAAAAACAAACTTGTAGCGCCAACAGGTGGCGTGGGGGTTAAGGTGGCTGGATCCCACCTGACTGACCTTGCTGTTCCAGTCCTGGACCCAGTAACTTAAAAATCACACCAAGTGCATGTGCATACATGCCCAAAATCCCAAGAGGAGACGAGGAGAAGGAACTGCGGTATGGCCAGCCCCCTAGCGGGATGTCTCTCTGTGTCTCTCTGGCAAGTGTACGTGCCCTATAGCAAAAACTAAAAAACTTGTATCCTAGTAGTAAAGACTGTGTAGCATATTTGGATTTCAGGACCCATGCTCTTAATGTCATATTTATCCTAGAAAAGGGAGTCAGAAGGGGCCGGCAGGTGGTGTGGTGGCATTGGACTCCCACATGGCTGACCACAGTTTGAGTCCCACCTGGTGGCTTGCTTTCTCACTTTCCCTCTCTCTCTATGCTCTCTGGTCAAATTAAAAATAAGTAAGTAAATAAATAAATAAAGTTAAATAAAATAATTCAAGAAAAAGGATTCAGAAAACAGCATAGGCTCTTTTCTTTTTTAAGTTTTGCTGAAGGGTGGATGTGCTCACCAGAGAGAGACGAAGAAGAGAGAAAGTGAAAAACCACCCCCAAGGAGGGCTACACAACCCCATCTCCTCCATTCTCCTCTTGGGATTTTAGGCACACGTGCACATGCACCTCACGTGTTTCCGAGCTGCTGGGTCCAAGATTTGAACTGCACAGTCTGCCATGTGAGATCCAGCAGCCTTAGCCACCATGCTATCGGTTGGCCAGGCTCATGTTTCTCATTTTGTTTTATTTTTGTTTTAATATTTATTTTTTAAAAAATATTTCTTTATTTATCGTGGTTTTTCTTTTTTTTTTAGATTTATTTATTTATTTATTCATTCATTCCTTCATTTAAATTTGACCAGAGAGAGACACAGAGAGAGAGAGGACAGTGAGAAAGGAAGTCACCAGGTCCAGGACTCAAACCGTGGTCGGCCATGTGGGAGTGTCCAGCACCTTAACCACCACGCCACCTGCTGGTCCCATTTATCGTGATTTTTCAAGCTGCCAGGTCCAGGACCTGAACTGTAGTCAGCCATGTGGGAATCTAGCACCTTGATCACCACACCATCCGTTGGGCCCCAGGATTATGTTTTTTAAATTAATTTTAAAAATCAATCAGTATATGGGACCAGCAGTTAGCGTAATGGCTATGTCGCTGGACTCCCACGTAGTCGACCGCGGTTCGAGTCCCGGACCTGGTGGCTTAAACTCACGCTGGGTGCGTGTGCGTGCGTGCCCAAGATCCCGAGAGGAGAATGGAGGAGAAGGGATTGTGGCGTGGCCATCCCCCCTGGGGGGTGATTTCCTGCTTTCTGTCTCTCTGTCTCTCTCTGTCTGTCTGGCGAGCACACGCGCCCTATAGCAAAAACCCCTCAAAAAAAAAAATCAATCAGTATACTTATATACTATTCTTTTGAGAGATGAGTGAAGACACAAATTATGAAGAATATTTATTCAGAAAAATGATCTTCAGCAATGCCTGGCTCATAGCAATCTGGGTCAAGTTGGGCTATAAAGCGAATGCTCCTGATGAAGATCCTGGGTCAGTATGAGATACCACGTATATTCTCAAATATTAAGACTAGAGGGGCTTGGGCTAGCAGGTGGCATGGTGGTTAAGACTCTGGACCCTACATGGCCAGCTTTGCAGCTCGAGACATGGACAGGGTGGCTTGTAAAACATCCTGGGCATGTGTGCATGTGTGCCCAAAATCCCAAGAGGAGAACAGAAGAGATGCAATTGTGGCATGGCCATTCCCATAGGGGGTGATTTCTCACTTTCCCTCCCTCCCTATTTCCCTCCTGCAAGCACATGCTCCCTATGGCAAAAAATCCAAAATAATAATAAATAGAAAAAAAAACAGAATTGGGCTAGCCTTAAAGTAGCCTAGTGGTTAAAGGAGCCAGGTCCCACGTGGCCAACAGTGCAGTTTGAATCCCAACCTCAGCGTCTTAGAGATGGGGGAGTAGGGACTGCGGTGTGACCACACTCCGCTGGGAGAGGGAAAGGAAGAAAGGACCCCTCAGTGAGGGTGCTTTCTCCCTCTGTCCCTGTTTCTCTTACAAGCATACACACCCTCTGCCTATTATAAATAAATAAATAAATAAGGACTAGAATTATGTTTAATATAGCTTTGGTGTATAGGGCCCTTGTATACCAAGGAGAATATTCAGCTACTAAGTGATTCTTGGCCAAATTCTACAACGTTGGACTATGAAGAGTTGGAGGAACGGAAGAATTAATACTGGAGAGCAATAAGCAAATATGTATGACAGTACAAAATTGCTGACGCATGAAAGTTAAAATGAAGTAGCCTCAGGTGCACTGACAATTAGCTAATGAGTCCAGATGAAATGGAGCGTCCTGGGGCCAGCGAACAGCACGGTGGTGGAGGCAGCTGGATCCCACGTGGCCAACTGTGCACTTGGAGTCCTGGACCCAGTGGCGTGGAAAACGTGCTGGGCACATGTACACGCATGCCCGTGATCCCCAGAAGAGAATGGAGGAGAGGGGACTGCCACGTGACCATCTCCCCGGGGATGTTTTCTCACTCTCTCCTACCCTCATCTTTCTCTGGTGAGCACATGCACCCTATAGCAAAATTTTAAAAAGAAAAGAAAGAGAGAGAAAAAAAAGAAGGAAGAAATAGAGCATCCTGTTTGTACTTTATAATTTTCTTGTGTTTTTTTTTTTTCCCCCATGGGAATTTAGGATCTGTGGGAATTCCCTATAGGGTATGGGCTGTAGGCAGTTCTGAGAAGGCTCCTTTTTCCTTTTGACTTTTTTGTTAAGAATTATTTTATTCAGGGGAACCAGCAGTTAGCGTAATGGCTATGTCACTGGACTCCCATGTAGTCGACCGTGGTTCGCATCCCGGACCCGGTGGCTTAAAACTCACGCCGGGTACATGTGCGTGTGTGCCCAAGATCCCGAGAGGAGAATGCAGGAGAAGGAATTGCGGTGTGACCATCCCCCCTGGGGGGTGATTTCCTGCTTTCTGTCTCTCTGTCTCTGTCTGTCTGGCGAGCACACGCACCCTATAGCGAAAACCTCTCAAAAAAAAAAAAAAGAATTATTTTATTCAGCTTTATTTATTTATTTGTTTATTTTAATTTGACCAGAAAGGGACAGACTAAGAGGGAGAGCAAAAGTGAGAAAGCAAGCCACCAGGTCCAGGATTTGTACTATAGTCGGCCATGTGGGAGTCCAGCACCCTTAACCACCATGCCACCTGCTGGCCCCAGAAAGGCTCTTGTGAGTCAAAAGACTGAGGACATTGAAGAAGAGGATTTTAGGAAATGGTGAGAGCATAAGTGCACAAAATGGGAATTTTTATTATTTGCCAGAGGGCTCATGCACACACCAGAGAGAGAGACACAGAGGGAGAGGGAGAGGGAGAAAGTACTCCCCGATGCGGAAGTGGTCACACTGCAATCCCTTCTCCTCCATTTCCCTCTCCTGTTGGAATTTGGGCACACACACACACAACAAGTGTGTTTTTCAAGCCACCAGAGCTAGAACTCGAATTAGAGTCAGCCATGTGGGATCTAGCTCCTTTAACCACTAGGTCATAGGGCCTGCCATCCCCAAAAATGGGAAACATTTTTTAAAGAATTATTTATTGGGACCAGCAGGTAACATAATAGCTATCTCGCTGGACTCCCATGTAGTCGACCGCGGTTCGAGTCCTGGATCCAGTGGCTTAAAACATGCCGGGTGTGTGTGCATGCATGCCCAAGATCCTGAGAGGAGAATGGAGGAGAAGGGATTGTGTGGCCATCCCCCCTGGGGGGATGATTTCTCACTTTTTGTCTCTCTGTCTCTTTCTGACTTTCTGGTGAGTGGACGTGTCCTATAGCAAAAACCTCTCCAAAAAAAAATAAATATTTATTTATTTATTTATTTATTTTAATTTGATCACAGAGAGACAGAGCAAGAAAGGGAAAGTGAGACAGCAAGCCGCCAAATCCGGGACTCGAACTGTGGCCAGCCATATGAGAATCCAGCACCTCAACCACCATGTTATTTATTATTTTTTAATTGGACCAGAGAGAGATAAAAGGAAAATGAGCTGCCAGGTGTGGGACTCGAACTGCAGTTAGCCACGTGGGAATCCAGCACCTTTAACCACCATGCCACCTGCTGGCCCCCCCAAAAGTGGGAATTTTGTAATCAAAAGTTTTTAGTTAGAAATCTCTCAAAGTGGGACCAGTAGGTGGTGTGGTAGTTAAGGCACTTAACTCCCACATGACCAACTGCAGTTCGAGTCCCAGACCAGGCAGCTTGCTTTCTCACTTACCACCCCCCTTCCATCTCTGTCTGGTGAGTGCATGTCCCCTATAGCAAATTAAATAATATTAATTAATTATTTTTTATAAAAGAAATCTCTCATAGTAACACATTATTTCATATAATTATTGGGTCATCAGGAAAATCATGATGCATTTTTACATAGAAAAATAGATCGTGACTTTCCTGATGACATAAGTCATGAACTGATGATTTATTATACCTCTATTATTTCTAAACTGAATCCTCCATTACTTTCTTTAGCCAAAAGACAGGAGACCTGGAGCACATATTGGAGAAAGACAGTGACATTGAGCCCCAGGGGTCCGACCTGGAGAAACTGCTATGTACAGATGGGGAGTGCAATGGCACTGGTGGGTCAGGCTCAGAGCCAGGAGCCACGGAGCCCTGAAGCCCTGTTCCTACCAGAGCCCCATCAGCTCAGTTTGGGGAAGAGCAGGTGTGCCTTCCTGGGACATCCCTCGCTTAGAAGTGGACACAGCCCTCCCGGTTTCCCCGGTTTTTCTTTATAGGCGGCGCGTCTTTTCTAGCTTTCCTGGTGTACCTGTCTTTGGAGCCACCTCCCACAGTAGCTCCCAGGACAGTCAATGGCAGGGTTAGGAAAGATGAGTGGCAGGAACCGGAGAAATATTCATGCTGCATGCCCAGAAACTGGTCTTTGGCACTGCATCATCTTTTTAAAAAATATATTAATTTAATTTAACTTAATTTAATTTATTATTTTTTTTTAATTTGCTATCAGGTACATGCACTCACCAAAGAGAGAAAGAGAGAGAGCGAGAAAGTGAGAAAGCAAGCCACTGGGTCTGGGGCTCGAGCCATGGTTGGCCACATGGGAGTCCAGCACCCTAACCACCATGTCACCCTCTGGCCCCAAGTGCTGCATCATTTTTTACGAGGATGGAAAAAGATAAGACTTGCCTCGGGATAATGTGGACCTCTCTTCCCCTTGACTCCCACCTCACTTCCACTTCCTGCAATAACCCTCCATCCCATTGGCTCCCTACCTGCAGTGAGAATCTTAATCTAACCCCCACCTGTTTCTCCCTCTACAGGAGACTGAGCCCAACCACCAAGTCCTGATGCGCATCCTCACCTCTCGGAGTGAGACTGACCTCCTAAGCATCAGAGCTGAGTTCAAGAAGAAATTCGGGAAATCCCTCTACTCTTCGCTCCAGGTGAAACAGGCTCTTCGCCTGGAGCTGCAGAGTGTCACTCCTCACCTCGACCCACACCCCCACACACGGCTGAGCACGTTCTCGCGCTGTAGAACTCATGAGCTTTTGGTTAATTTAGTGCAGGTCTCCAAGCACAGGGACGAGCCTTCCCTCCCAGATGAGCTACGGACCCAGCGTGAGGGAAGGGACAGTGTCTGGGCCATGGTGGTGGCGGACTTTTCTAACGCTGGACTCCCTTGTCTGTAGGATGCAGTGACAAGCGACTGCCGGTCGGCCCTCCTGGCCCTGTGCAGGGCGGAAGACATCTGAGACCTCCCTGCCCCGACACTCACATGCTGGTCAAATCTCTGAGACTGCAGAGCATCCAAACAGGATAACCCCTCACTGAGCACCACATGGCTCCAGCTTCTTATCGAGGACCGACCTCTAAGTTTCCTTTAAATCCTTTCATTTCCCTCATCTCACAGTGCCGCCTGTACCTGGGGCCTCCAGCTCCACCTTGGGTGTAAGGGGGTGACGGGATCTCTCCCATAGTTTCTGCCTCACCCTCCCCAACCCTGGCCAGATCATCTCACTAGTACTTGAATTCTTTTGTCAGACTTCGCTGTTGTTTGTGTTCCCTGATTGAAGTTTGGGTGGGGCAGGATAGGTGTGGGGCTGGGGCCCTGGCTTTGGAGGAGGCTTTGATGTGCACTGGCCAGTCCACAGGGACCCAGTTTCTGCCCTGGGCCTGCAGTTATCAACACCCTGGTTGCTGTGGGTCAACCTCACCCTTATTATTCTCCTTTCCCCAGGAAGTTTCGGGCAAAATAACTGACAAACAGGGCAGCAGAATGAGGTCAGATACGGTCAGAGGTGGGCCGGCTGGGTGAAACAGTGGTTAAGGCAGCTGGACCCCACAAGGCCAACTGTGGTTCAAGTCTCAGACCTGGCAGTCTTGATGAACACACTAGGCATGTGTGTATGTACAAAATCCCAAGAGGAGAGTGGAGAAGGGATTGTGGAGTGCAAACCCCCCCCACACCCACCCCCGGGACAATTTCTCAGTTTCCTTTTTTCTCTGTCTCTCTCTCTGGTGAGCTCATGGGCCCTATAGCAAAACTTTAAAAAAAAAAAAGAAAAAAAAAACAGGAATGGTCAGAGCCAGCAAGCAAAGGACCATCTGTATGAACTAGAAAGTGAGCAGAGTGTCAAGTTGCCTTCCCCACCCTGGGAAGTCTTGAGTTAGAGGGAGGAGAACCTCCCAAACAAGGATTTGGAAACCCACCTGCCACTGGAGGGCTATTACCCAGAAAGATCTAAAAACAAAAAGAAGCAAGAAAAAAGGGGCAGCTTTGGTGCCCCCTACTGGCTCTTTTAGAAATGACAGGTGACCTCCTACACCTCTGAGCACCTTTTTTAAAAAACTGACCAATGGGTTTTTGTGTGTGTGTGTGCGTGTGCGTGTGTGCAAGGGTGTATGTGTGTTTAGGTTTTGCTATAGCATGCAATCACCAGAAAGAGAAAGAAAGTAAGAAAATCCCCCTGGGGGATGGCCACGCTGCAATCCCTTCTCCTCCATTTTCCTCTCAGGATCCTGGGCATGCATACTCATATGCTTGGCATGATATTCAAGCCACTGGTCTAGGACTCAAACCGTGGTCAACCGTGTGGTTCAGTGCCTTAACCACCATGCCGCCTGCCGCCTCCCCCCCCCTTTTAGGTTTTGTCATAGGGCACATAAGCTCATGGGAGAGAGGGAGGGAAAGTGAGAAATCATCCCTCAGGGGCAGTGGCCATGCAGCAATTCGTTCTCCTCCATTCTCTTCTTGGGATTTTGGGCAGGCACGCACATGCACTGGGCATGATTTTCAGTTGCCAGGTCTGGGACATGAGCTTTCGGCCATGCGAAAGTCCAGCGCCTTAACAACACGCCACCCACTGCCCTCTCCCTCTTTTTGCATTCCTCAGTTGGTCACAATTTAACCCCAGTGCTGCAGGTAAGGCCAACAACAGATCTCAGCAAAGAGTTTTATTTCGAAACCCCAGGAAGGCATTACAAATAATGGAGATAGAAATCCGAATCAAACCCTGAAACAAACAGGCCTGCTGGCCCCAGGCAGTCAGGCATAGGAAGTCGGAGGAACACATTCCAGATAGGGATCTCGCCCTGAGCTGAGTCGGTGTATTAGTTGGACTCTTCTGGGAAAGGGAGTTGGGAACCGTAAATCTTCACCACCCTGAGCCCTAATGTTGCCCTGGATGGGAGGAAGAGAAGGCCGCAGCACATGAGGGCAAGGACTCAGTGAGTCTGGCCTGGCACTTACTGCCTGCTCTGGTCCCCGCAGTCCATAAATAAGTTACCGCACAGCCCAGGAGCTGAGGTCGGGGAGTGAGCAAACATGGCCTCTGAAGGCAGGGGCAGCCACCGGGCTACAGCAGGACACAGTCTGACTCGTGCTTCGGCCGTCGACGCTCCCCACCTGGCCGGCCGGGTGCGGCTCCTCTTCCCTGTATGGGATTTGACAATGGGTCATCCCACAACCTCTGGAGAGCTTAAGGGCAGAGATTCTAGGAGGAAGGATGGTCAGGAACAAGAAGGGCAGGGGAGCTAGGAGGGAAGGGGCCCTGGGGGAGAGGGGAAGGCAGAAGGGCTGAGGGAAGCCCTGAAGAGACAAGGGCAGGAATCCTGGGACTGAGAACAGGTGGGAGGACAACGCCCAGGACCCAGCTCACCTGTGGAGAGAGGGCCCGAGTTTGCCTGGGCGGGGCTGCCTGAAGACTCCCCCTGCGGAAGCTGCTGGGCCAGCTCCAAGTCGCTCAGGGCCAGCGAGCCCTGTGGCTGCTGCTGCTGCAGGGACAGGGCAATCAGATAGTCCTGGAGAGAGCAAGGACGGAAGTGGGCTAGGCCGGAGTGGCTCTTCCGTGCAGGGGTCAAGCCAGCCTTTTGGGTTGTTTTAGAATTGTTTATTTCTTTTTCTTTTTTTAAAAATTTGCTTGTCAGAGAGAGAGAGAGAGAGAGAGAAAGCAAGAAAGCAAGCTGCCAGGTCTGGAACTCAAACCATGGTCAGCTGTCATGTGGAAATCCAACACCTTAACCAACCTGCCACCTGCTAGCCCTTCAAACCTGTTTATCCTTTTTTTTTTTTTTTTTTTTTTTAGAGATTTTTTGCAACAGGGCATGTGCACTCACCAGAGAGACAGAGAGACAGAAAGTGAGAAATCAACTCCTGGGGGGATGGCCACGCCACAGTCCCTTCTCCATTCTCTGCTAGAGATTTTGGGCATGCATGCCCAGTGTGAGTTTTAAGCCACTGTGTCCAGGACTCGAACCATAGTCAACTATATCCAGCAACCACTACACCATCTGCTGGTCCCACAATTATTACTCATTCTTTTTTTTTTTTTTTGGAGAGGTTTTCGCTATAGGGCACGTGCGCTCGCCAGACAGACAGAGAGAGACATAGAGACAGAAAGCGAGAAATCACCCCCCCAGGGGGGATGGTCACGCCGCAATCCCTTCTCCTCCATTCTCCTCTTGGGATCTTGGGCACACACGCACACGCACCCAGCATGAGTTCTAAGCCACCGGGTCCGGGACGCGAACCGCGATTGACTACGTGGGAGTCCAGTGACATAGCCATTACGCTAACTGCTGGTTCCCATTACTCATTCTTTAAATTATCCAGCTGTTTCTCCTTCCTAAGTATGTCATGTGGGGCATCAGGGGAGGATATGGGCTGAAGATAACAGAGGAAGCTGGGGGAGAGGCCTGCCTATGTCGCGGTCTAGCCGATAAAATGCATGTATCTTGCCTATGGCAGAAAGCTCTCTGAGGTAAACAAGCACCTTTCCCAGAGGCCCCACACACCTGGTCCACCTGCAGCTGCTTTTCTGGGGAGCTACTCCCACTTTCCACTCCAGGCCCCTTGCCCAGGGAATGGCTTAGATGAAAGTCGGAGTCGCAGAAGCAGCTGTCTCCATCCACGTTGTGCAGGCTCTCCCACACCACCTGCTCCTCCTGCAGAAAGCCCTGGTCGGTGACCAGGAGGTACAAGTGACTCTGCAAAGAAAAGGACAGGGCTGATTGCTGGGGTTGGTGGCAGAGGCAGTTTGCTGCATCCTCTGAGATGCAGTTGGGGTGAGCCAACTGGTGTGTTAGCTGGACGCTAGTGTGAGTTGTGGATGATCTGTCTTTTTTTTGTTTGTTTTGGAGAGGTTTTTGCTATAGGGCGCGTGCGCTTGCCAGAAAGACAGAGAGAGACAGAGATAGAAAGTGAGAAATCACCCCCCCAGGGGGATGGCCACGCAGCAATCCCTTCCCCTCCGTTCTCCTCTCGGGATCTTGGGCACGCACGCACATGCGCCTGGTGTGAGTTTAAGCTGCCCAGTCCAGGATGCGAACCACGGTCGACTACGTGGGAGTCCAGCGACATAGCCATTATGCTAACTGCTGGTCCCAGCTTGTGGATCTGTCTTAAGTACGGTCCCTGCAGCTGTGGGGAGAGGGACAGGATGTCTCGGTGCACGTTCAGTGGGATGAGTACAGAGGTTGTTTTGGTCGAGCATGGTGTCCCCAGGGCTGGGGTACCACCCAAGATCCTACTTCCTACCCCGCTTCCCAGGTTCTGGGCGCCTAACTTTGAGAACTAGAGACCTCTCCCTTTTCTACTCTTGTCCTGGAAAGCTATGGTAATTTCTCCTTCTTCTTTTCTTCTTTTTTTTTTTTTTTAGAATTATTAATTTAATTTTATTTATTGTTATTATTTTTAAACTTGACAAGAGAGACAGAGAGCAGGAAAGTGAGAAAGCAAGCCTCCAAATCTGGGACTTGAACCGCAGTCAGCCCTGTGGGAGTCCAAGTATCTTAACCACCATGCCACCTAGAGGCCCCAGCTTCAGCAGTTTCTAACTTTGGCAGATTCTTGTACTGCTATGAGAATTCCACTGCCCCTGGCAGACTGGAAGACCTTGCTACTTGGCCACATGCAAAGCCTGGATTCCTGACCCACCCTGACAGCTGGGCGTCGGGAGCCTGACACCCCAGCTGGATCATAGCACAGCAAGAGTCTGTCATTAAAAAAATAAATAAATAAATAGATCCAATACTTAAAAAAAAAAAAAAGGGAGAAACGGAGAAGGGATGGTGGCGTGACCATACCCCATGGGGAGGTGGTGCTTACTCATTTCCCCTCTCCCTCTTTCTATCGCTCTCTGGTGAGCACATGTGCCCGCTAGTAAAATTAAAAAAAAAAAAAAAAAAAAAATTCCAGGTCAGCAAGTGGCCCGGAAGTTAAGGTGCTGGGTCCCACATGGCTAACTGGTTTGAGTCCCAGACCTGGTGGCCTGAAAATCATGCTGGGCACCTGTGCGTGTGCACCCAAAATCCTAAAAGGAGAATGGTGGAGAAGGGATTGGAGTGTGGCCACCCGCTCCCCCACCAGGGGGTGATTTCTCACTTTCCCTCTATCTCTATCTCTCTCCTGGAAGTGCACTTGACCTATGGCAAAAAGATCTAAAGAAAGCTCCACCGCCCCTTCCTGGGAAATAATTATCCTTTCTTGCCCCCCTGATGGCAGGCTGATCTACAACCAGCTGGTGGAGAAGATCACACACGTCACTCAGAGGCAGAAGCACTAACAGTGATTGCAGAATGTCCCTCTCGCTCTTTCTCCCTCCTATATTCCAGATAAAAGCTCTTTTGTCGCCTGGGTCCGGAAGAGGGCGTGGGACAGAACTGTAGCCAAACTGCAGTGGCCATGCCGCGAGTGAGAAATAAACCTTTGTTGTAAGTCACAAGGAGTGCAGGAGGTCCTTTGTTATCACAGTTTCATCTACTTTATCCTGGCTGAAATGCTGACCCAGGAGAATAAGGCGCGAGGAAATAACAACATTCTGCTCCCCACCTCCAAACCCTCATCACCTTGTGTTTAGTCAGAGTGCTAAAGTGGTTGTTTCGGAAAAAGACGCTAAGCTCCCCCTCTCTGGCGGCTGCCGTTAGCTCGCCCCCTCTCTGGCGCCTGCCGTTAGCTCGCACAGTCCATGGTAGGTCAGCTGCGCCGCCGTGGTCTCCAGGAACTGCTCTGCAATCAGGCCTGCGGGAGGACACGGGAGGGGGGCACAGCTTAAATCCAAGTCCTCAGCAGGTGCAGGAAGGATCATCCAGAGAGCCCCCGTCAAAAGCCCTGGGGGGGCCAGGACCAGCAGATGGCATAACGGTTACATCACTGGACTCCTACATAGTCGACCACGGTTCAAGTCCTGGGCCAGTGGCTCGAAACTCACACCAGACATGTGTGCATGCATCCCAAAATCCTGAGAGGAGAATGGTGGAGAAGGGATTGCAGTGTGGCCATCCTCCCACGGGGTGATTTCTCACGTTCTGTCTCTCTGTCTCTCTCTGTCTCTTCAGTGAGCACATGTGCCCTATAGCAAAAATCTCTCTTAAAAAAAAAAAAAAAAAAACAACCCTGGGACCAGTCCCACCTTCCAAAATCACCTCCTGGAAGCCTGGCTGTGTTTATTCAGTCACGCAACAAGTTCTTTCTGGAGTAAACTATAGCTACCCTGCGCCGGCACTGCGGAGAACCCCCGGCCCCGCCACCCCTCAGAGCTTGTACTCTAGTGGGATGCAGTGGGAGATGACAGGCGGCAAACAACAGGCCGAGGTGGCCGCGGTCGCTCCACCGAAGACCCACAAGAAGAGAGGGACTCACCTTCCGTCACGAGGTTGGTGTCGCTGGAGTGTTTGCAGGTGATGATCTTCTCCACCAGCTGGTTGTAGCTCAGCTTCCCCACCGCACTCACCGCCTCAGGACTCTGCGGCAGGGAGGGGTGACAACAAAGACTTTTTTTTTAAAGAGATGTTTTGTTTTTTAAGGAAGGAAATGAACGTAGCCCACAAGACTACAACCTAAGACCAAAGGTTCCTGAAGCTCTTTTTTTTTTAAAGGTTTTTGCTACAGAGCATATGTGCTTGTCAGAGAGAGACACTGAGAGGGAAAGTGAAGAAGCATCCCCAAAGAAGAATGGTCATGCCACAATCCTTTCTCCTCCATTTACCTTCTGAAATTTGGGGCATCCATGCACACACACCCAGCATGATTTATTTTCAAGCCACTAAGTCCAGGACTCTGACCATGGTTGAACATGTAGGGGTCCAGCACCTTAATCACCGCGCCACCTACTCACCCTCCTGAACTTCCTTTTTTTTAAAAAAAATTAAAAAATTTTATTTAACTTTATTTTTATTATTTATTTATTTATTTTGAAGAGGTTTTTTTTGCTATAGGGCGCATGTGCTCACCAGAAAGACAGAGAGAGACAGAAAGCGAGAAATCCTCCCCCCAGGGAGGATAGCCACTCCACAATCTCTTCTCCTCCATTCTCCTCTCAGGATCTTGGGCACGCACGCACACGCCCCCAGTGT